CGGCCGGGCTGCGGGGCCGAGGCGGGGGGGTCGCGGCCGCTTTCGGGAGGCGATGGGGGCTCCCGGCTGCTCTCCGCGGGGGGGTCCGCGCTCCCCTCCGCAGCGGCCGAAGCGCAGCCCCGAGGTGCCCCCGCCGCTCCCGGGACCGCTCCGCATCCCGGCCCGGGGGGGACGCGCTCACCGGGAGGAACGGGAGAGCCCCGGGGGACTCCGCATCCCGGCACCGCCGGGGGAACGGAACGCGCGGAAAAAAGAGCGGGGGAAGCCCGGGGGGCTCCGCAGGCAGGGGCCGGACKGGAGAGCCCCGGGGGGCTCCCGCAGCGCCCGCGTGGCCCCGACGGGACCCCCGCCCGCCCCGCGCCCACCTTGCGGGAGCCGCCCGGTGCTGCCGGTACTCACAGGAGAGCGGCTCGGCGCGGGGCAGGCGCGGGCACAGCAGCAGCAGCAGCGGCGGCAGCATCGGCAGCAGCGGCGGCGGCGGCATGGCCGCTCCGGTGCCCGTCGGTGCCCGGGGCGGCGGAGCGCACCGGCACGTCCGGGGAAGTCCCGAGCAAGTCTGAGCAACCCCCGGTTACCAAAGCCCCAACTGCCGCCCTGGCCCCGCCCCGGGACCGCCCCCGGGGGGGCAGAAAGCCACCGGCCCCGCCGCCCCCCCCGTCTCGCTCCGGTACCGGCCCCCGGACCGATGGTGGGACCGGCCCCGGGACCGGCCCCCGCCCGCCGCCCGCTGCCCTTCGCCGCCGCGGGATGCCGGACCCCCCCAGCCCTCCCGGGGCCGGTGCCGCGCTCCCCCCGATCCCCCGGTAGGTGAGTAAGAGCCGCCCCGGGGCCGCCGGCCCACGGCTGAGTCACGCGCGGCCGCCGCGGACCCTCCCGCGCCCCCGGGGCCGCTGTCGCCGCTGAACGAGCCCCCCCCGCCGCGGCTTCCCCGMGCTCCGAGCGCTGTCAGACCCAAACCCCTGCTCTCGCTGATTTTTTGGGTCGAAAACAGGAATATCATCCCATAAATCCCGATGTTTTCTACCGAATCCATCAAATCTGTGCTTTCCTCTCTAAAACCCCCCAAAAGTGGGAAAACCACCCCAAGTGGCTCCAAGTCCCCCCAGTCCGGGGCTGCGCTTGTCCCCAGGGGWGGTGGCGTGTCCGGTTGTGCCGCCAGCACCGGGGCAAAGCCACCCATGAGGACACCCCCCGGTGTCCCCCTCCTTGTCCCCTCCCGGCTCTCGGTGGCACCGGGAGCTCTGCAGAGCCCCGGAGAGGTGACAGACCCCTGGGACAGCAGGGCCACTGTCCCCATGTGTGGCGAGGAGAGGGGCCACCATCCCCTGCCGCGGGGCTGGAGGGTGACAGGGGACGCGTGGGTGGCCCGGGGTGCCCCACGGACTCGGGATGGGGGTGACTCCGTGGGGCTCCGAGGTGTCGGGCACCAGGCGGGATCGCAGGGATTGGAAAACACAATAAAAGCGAGAGGGGGAGGGAGCCCGAACAATGCCTTTTTTCCCATCGTCCTGTTTTTTGGAAGCTTCTGAACTGTTTTTGTTGAAATTTCCCAAAAATGTCAGGCTCCGGGAGCCACCCAGCCTGAGAAACTTCAGCCCCAGCGGCCGCAGTCTGGCCGAGTGAATCACGGCTGCCCCGGGGCCGCCCGCGATCCCGACCCACCGCCCGCGCCCCCCGGGCCCGGGGCCAGCGCTGGGTGCTGGGGAACCACAAATTCCCGTGCGGGGCTGGAGCCGGGACCGGCGGCCACCCCGACTGCCCACCTGCACTGCCCAGACCCTTCCCCCCTCCATCCCGGGCCAAACTCTCCGCTCGAGCCCGGAATGTGGCGTTTGGGAGCCCGGGGTGGGTGGGATCCCGCCGAGAGGGGACTCGGGTGGCTCTGGCAGAGGCGTCACCAGAGGGGCTTTGAGGCTGTGCTGGGGTGCAGGGGGAGGTGGGGGACGGCGACATCGGGACTGTTGTCCCCTCTGGTGTCACCCCGGGTGGCACAGCGACATTTGACCCCTCAGCTCACTGCAGCACCAGCGGGATGGGCACGGGCCGGGGCCACAGAGCGGTCCCCAGCCCCGGGCAGCGCCRGGACCCGGCCGGGAGCGGCCGGAGGTGACCGAGCCGCTGTCCCCCGCTCTGAGTCAGCTGTGGTCAGCGCTGCCCTTTGACAGTGACCTTTAAAGCCGCTCTCTCCATCCCACGAGCCGCCGCGCTCGCAGGCACGGGCCAGGGGCCGAATCCAGCCCGGACCCCCCTCTGACCCCCGCGGGGTCCCCCGGGCCCGGCGCGGTCCCGCTCCCCCCGGTTTGGCTCCGTTCCCGGGGCCTCTCTGCCCCGCTCTGCCCGGGACGGACGGGACGCCCCTCACAGAACCCGGGTGACCCTGGTGACATCCCCAAACCGCTCCGCGCATCCTCGGCTCAGCTTCCCACCCGCCGTCACCTCCCCGCCACCCTCCGTCATGTGTCACCAGGGCCCTGAATTAATCTAATTACTTGATTTCCCAGCCAGAGCTCACTCCATAAAATCCTTGGACGCAGACAGCATCTGGCTCAAGGGCCAGGGTGTAAAAAACAAACAAGAAAAAAAACAAAAACCCAAAGCCCGGGAAAAGCGGGAGGAGACGCGCAGCGGAGCTGCCTCGACTGCCTGCATCCTTTTAAAGTGACCTGGGGGAAAAATAAAGAGGCAAGAAATGCGAAGAATCCAGCAGGCAGAGTTTGCTTTCTATTCCTCTCAGTCACATTTCCACATCCATGGGTAATTTATAACCCACTTAACCCCTTCCCCGCCGCCCCCCCGTCCTTTCCCCCTGGAGCATCCTCAGGGTGGCCGCACCTTCCCGCCTCTGTTTGCTTTGGGAAGCACAAAGAGCCCCGTGACGGAGTTCGAGGAGCTCGAGAGGAGGGGAAAAAAATGTCGAGAGGGTGCTTGAGCACGAGGGATGGGCTCTGCAGGGTGTGGGGACATCGAGTGAGGGGTCCCCTGCCCAGGGCGGGGACCGTGGGGACACCCCAGAAAACCARGAGGGAGCCTGAGGCTTCCCGAGAGGCTCCGGATGAAAAATGTAGGTCAGTAGTGATAAATGCGAGCGGCATCGAGCGTTTCTGGAGAGGGGAGGAGGGARGGCAGCGAATATTTGCCAACTTGGAGGGTTTTGCCCGGGAAAGGCTCTTTTTTTTTCCGCGGAAAGGTGAGCGGTGCGGGCAGGTGCGGTGGGAGCGATGCCCACCCCGAGGGTCCCGGTGCCCCCGGGGGTCCCGGCTCAGCTCTGATTTACGGCGGCARCCCCCAATCCATCCCATTTTCTCGGCCATCCGTCAGCGGTGCCGGACCCGGGGCTGGCGGGGCTCCAGGAGGGGGAAGGGGAGCGCGGCCCCGCCGGCCCGGCCACCGCTCGTTCGTGCCGGCCCCGCTGCGATGGGGAAGGTGAATAAACAGGCGGGGCGAGGAGAGGCCCCGCTCCCGGGGCTCCCCCAGCACCCCCGAGCCCTCTCTCGCTGCCCCAGGGCACGGAGCACCCCTCAATCCCGGCTGGGACGGGGACAGCCCCCCTTCCCCCGCCGGGGTCTCGCCATGTGTTCCCCATTAGGGCTGGAGGTTAACGAAGCCCCCCTCCCCCTCTTCCTCCCCCTCCTCCTCCTCCTCCTCGTCCCAGTCCCTCTTTGGGGTGCTGCCATGAATGAGGGGAGTGGGCAGGGCCGGGGTGAGGGGGCCCAGCGGTGCCTCTGATGTCCCCTAAATTCCGGGGAGTCCCAGCTGTAAATTTGGGGTGTCGGGGGGGTCTGAGGGGCGAGGGTGGGGGTGGGAGGCACGAAGGTGACAGAGGGTGGCACGGTGGGCTCTGACTCTGCTCGGGGACACGGGGACATGCTGTTTGTCCCTCCCGAGGGCCATGTGGGTGGCATCGAGGCAGCGCTGTCCCTCTGTGTGACACCAGAGCCACCGTGACCCCAGTCCTGGTCCCCCTGACCCCTCCTCCATCCCCCAAAACCCCCTTTAGCCCACGGTCCCCCTACACGCCCT